TGCCAATATTGTCAGTATTTCCATATACCTTTGTCTGATCGGCCAATTAGCCTGTCTTGTCCAAATGTGTAGGTCACACACGTCAGCGGTGTGGCTCTCGGGATGCTATGTCGGTTGGTCAGTTTAGAGTGAAATATTGCAAAAACTATTACTTGGAATGTCATAAAATGTTGTTCAGACTTTTGTAGTTGCCAGAGTATTAAACGTACAGTAATGACTTTGATGATCTCCAATGACACTCAACACATATTGATCTATTGTCAGGTCACACATTTTATTGACCAATACTTTGGTTTCTACAGAGAGGAAAGTGAGAGAAAAAAATCTGTGTATCCTTTTTTCTAAGTCTGATCTAGAATTGTTTTCTCTTCCGTGTGTTTGACAGATTAACAAACACTTCTGGGATTCTTTCGTTTTTTTGTTTGTCAAGATTAGTGTTGTTGTAATACTCATTTCAGCCACAAGGGACTGAAGTCCACCTCTGACCTTGTTTTCAATAGCATTAAAAGCACTCGTGTTTTCTTCCAGGCAAGTTTTAATTTGTATAACTTTGTAACACACAATGTATGTACCTTGTGTTAAGAGTGCATGGAGAAATGAAAACTCACCTAGAAAATAGTCTCAGTGTCGTGGTACACTCCAGCCTCCTGTGGGCGAAATGAACACTCAGGAGAAGTTCACCTTCAGGGCTTTCTGCCAATAATCTCCTTAGGTTCAAGCAATAAACCTATTTATTTAGCTTTAGGAAAATATCATGATCCTGTTTAAAATAAAGCCTCTCTGGCAGAGAGCCCTGAAGGCAAACTACTGTCATGTGCCCAAATCATTTTTTTCACACAAAGAGATTAAACTTTGAGGAAAAGATCATCCTAGCAGATCATTCCTTCCCCCTGTTGTACTTTTCTCTCAGGGCTTTTGTTCTGACCAAATACCAAAGAACTTGGTGTCGTTCATCCTCAGCTGCATGTTGTGTTTAAAGGTAACTAGCAAAGTAAGAGTAGGCAACTGATCTCAACGGATCTAAAAAGCCTGGGTTCACCTCATGATTTGGGTGATGTTTTTAATTCAATTGATTAGGAAATTTGCAGTAAAGTACAATATCAAGTGGGTCCTTCATTATTTCTGAGTCTTGTCCTCCTGTCTTGCAGAGGGGCCCCTGTATGTAAATCGAGCTTTAATATTTGTATTACTACACTTTGTATTGTGTTGACATGGTGCCTATTCTTAAATATAGTCGTGTTAAATGAAATTCCCTCAATCCGACAGACAATTTGGGGCCAGGTAGTATCCAGCCTCACTGGTTTGTTTTTTAGGTGCTAGGTTTCAATATGAGTGCAACAACGTTTTTTGCCATTCCAATTAGCATATGTAGATGTGCCGACGTCAGCATGAAGCTCAAAGCACTGCGTCTACTCCTCTAAATAACAGGTATCACGTGAAGGCCGTGAACATTTCAGCTGTTTCTCTAGAGCTGTCCTTTAGCAACATGAGCCACGTCTCAGGGAAGGACCACCTGCCTTTACAGAATACATATTTGGCATTGGTAAATGTAACAAGTTCATTCCTAAGGGTCCTTAAAATATGATAGTTCTATTCAAATAGAGGCTATAAAAGTTAATTGCAAAACCACTGCAAAGTGCTGTGTATGCAGGTTCAATGGAGTCGTACCCAGACACACATAGAAGCATATAATGTAATATTCAGAGGAGTGTGGTAATTAATCACTGTCTTCACTCACATTACAGTCCTTATACCTTTTACACAGCTGTGCTAGTCACAGTGGGAGTGACAGAAATGATTCATGGAATGGAGGGCAGGGTGCAGTGAGTAGAACAATAATAATGTTGTTCTGAAGGTTCCGAATGACAATATGAGAACATGTGACACCACAGGTCTGCAGCCAGAGGTAGATGGCTTTTAAAGCTTCATTTGTTGAGACTTTCGCACATTCTGATTTTGCTGTCCTGTGACTGTTATTGCCAATGCCTTCCCGCCAGATACTCTTTACTTATAATTACAAACCCATTTCAATACCAAGCAATTACCTTCAATTAAAGGTTTGAATACAACAGGCAGTTGTTTTATTTTATCATTTTAGTTATAGTGAAGCCTGAGGTCTAAATCGCCTTCCATAACCTGTGGTCTACAGCTGGTGCTTATTTGTGTAAATAGGTTGATTCATCAATGAAATTTGATTTAATGAACAGTCTTAAGCATAAAATAGCAATTTGATGGTCCAGTGGAAACAGTGTATAGTTATTACTGTTACAGTGATCTACCGCTCATAAAGCTTGGGACAGAAGCATTTCTATACAAATGCTGTTTGAATTGTTTGCTTATAGTAATCAAGCAGTCCGCTTACAGTGTTCATTTTGGGTCTTGTCATACATAAGATATGGAAAGAAAACCTATAGTAAGCAAACACAAATAATATTTTTCTTTTGTTTGCAAATTTCTCGCCACATATCAAGCATACAGGTAAGCCAGCATTGTTGGCAGTGAAAGCAAATGAAGACGTCCACGCAGAATTAAACTCTCTATTTTCCTCCATGACTTTTCTTTTTTTGGATTTATCCATTGATAGTTTACAGAGGGCGGGGGTCTGTGACTCGGTATCACCTCAAACTCCAAGATAAGAGGTGTTCCCTTTGAAAGATTGTCCACTGGGCAAAATATTATGTAAAAATAACCGTTATTTATTTCCATGTTATTTGTTGTCAAAGCCTGAGGCCATGTCCACACTACTACGTTTCCATTTGAAAACGCATGTTCTGCTACATTTATACTGAGCGTCCACACTACGAGTTTTCGAGCACCGAACTCAGGAGTTACCGCTTCGTGTGGACGCTCGACGCTCGTAAACGCATACGTTTAGAAACGATGACGTAGTCACCCGCATTCACTACTTGATTGGTTCTTTCCTTGATTCCTTCTCTGATTTGTCACACACCTATCACGTGACCCTTTCCCGGAAGCCCACAAACAACAACATTGATTACCGATCGACTACCAGGTTAATTTAACATGGACAACTGATTACAGGTGTTGCTGGCCTTGTTGTCTTTACTAGCAGCTGTTGTTCAGTTAAAGCAGGGGTCTCAAACTCCTGTCCTGCGGGCCAAATCCGGCCTGCCACGTTATTTTATGTGGCCCGCGAATCCGCCAGCAAAAATAAATAAATAAATAAAAAATTAAATATAATAATTAAAAGTTAGACTTAATAATAAAAATATCCCCATAGTCGAAATTATGAGATAGAAAGTCAAAATGATGAGATATTTAAACACACAGTCACAGAAGCAGCTCTTTGGCTGGTTCCTGTACATTTGACAGATAAATGTATTGTGAGTACATTGAAGATTACTTTAAACGTGGCTTTACAACACATGAAATACTTCACGTGGGATTGTGCAAACGCACCCTTGAAAGGATTTTAAGCATTGAACAAAGTTATTGTAATAACTTGTGTTTGATATTTGTCTTTGCTATTTTCTTTAATAGTTTGATCATTGATAGAGTAATGTGGGTTTATTAACCCTAAATTAAAAGGATTTAAGTTATAACAGAAATGTGCTTAAATATATTTTTACATTTATATAACTGCATGTACAATATTTTTACACTTGAATAAACAATAATCAAATGCAGAGACAGTTATTTACCAATATGTTAGGGAGTAGATACATTTACACCATCTTACATTTACAACCGGCCCTTTGAGGGAAACCGTGATGCTGATGTGACCCATAGTGAAGATGAGTTTGACACCCCTGAGTTAAAGTCTGCATGTCTGCGGAGGAAGCAGCTGTTATTGGAGCGATTAGTGAGCGGTGTGATCAGCGGCGTTATCAGACCTACGGAGCATACGTCTGAAGTCACGGTTAGCGGCTTTGAGAAGGACGGACACAAAACAGAGGATTTCCTTTTCTTATTAATGCTTATTTTGTTCTGCACAACTATTGTGAAGTCTGCAGATAAAATATAACGGAACAAAAGCAGTAATTGCTGTCCAGTAGGACAGAGACTTTAGCCACCAGCAGAGCTACGAGTGAGAACAAACAACAACGGAACCAAGGAAACGAGTGAGAGACGTGTGTTGACCACATTTATGGACCATAATCTAGTAAACCTTTATGTGTAAGTGTTTATTTTAAAGTAAATCTGATGTGAGAGAGAGAGAGATGAAGACCCGCAGCACTGTAACTAAGTCTGAAAAATAAAACTTCTAAAACTTTCCACTAAATGTGTCTATTTGAGTTCATAGAGGAAGATTTTAGAGAAGATCTTAAGTATCAAACACGACCGTTCATTATTAAAGACTACTTTATTACTCTGTCGTATTTTTTTAACTAAGCAACCAATCTACTTCCTGTTTAGACTGTCACCATCATGCCCAGTGTACGTGAAGAATCACGTGGTATTCCTTTTCAGGCGTTTTAGTCTGGACGGAGATCAATTCTAAAATGATGCTGAAACGTTGTGTGGACTGAGATCGCTTTTGTTTGTTAAAACTCCGTTTTAAAACAAAAATGTATTCGTGTGGATGTAGCCTCAGGGAGCCGCAACAGTGGGGTTGAAGAGCCGCATGCAGCTCTAAAGCCGCAGGTTGCCGACCCCTGTGCTAACCCATATAGATTACACATAACTTTGAAGACTGGAGTTGAAGTGCTGTTGTCCCTGCACAGGCATATATGGTATACTGTGCAGCTTTGAAACTGAACTGACGGTCCTGATGTATTAGTTAGAAACCCATATTTCACAGCTGGTGGTGCAAAGGGAAACATTCTTCCACCATTTTAGCAACCTGAGTTAATTCCCTGCGTGATTCCTCTTTCCATAGTGTTTGCAGGAGTATCAATGACAGGAACTGTGGAACATCTTCAAACTGTTGGCTTCCTTGTTTAATGTGCCAGGATCTCTTTCATTTTACTGTATTATGTTTGCTGTGATAAAAACCCAAGTTTCCCCACATGACATTCCTTTTATCTGTGTCTCCATAGCATTGCGACCAATGGACAGTGATCTGTGTCTGGGTATCCCCCCGAACACCACCCAGCTCTGCCATATCAGCTGTCCTGTTGAATGTGAGGTGTCTTCTTGGAGTGCCTGGGGACCCTGCACCTATGAAAACTGCCAGGACCAGGCAGCCAAAAAAGGTAAGAAATAAATAGTAATGGATGTACTTGTATAGTCCTTTTCTAGTCTTCCGACCACTCAAAGCGCTTTAACACTACATGTCATCATTTACCCATTCATGCAAGCATGTTCATTTGCGCCTGTGTTTGCTCTACTCTCACACCATCATTCTGCGATAAAGCTTGATGTGTTTTCTGGATGTGATCTCCTATTGGATCATGTTAGTATAAATCATTAAATATCAAAGTTAGTATTGCTATCAAAGTCAAAATCTGGGCCTTGCGACAGCACCAGAGGAGGGCAAAGGTTTGGTCTGGGAGCCAAAGCGTCATCATCTGCTCTGCCTAATTTGTTTGTCTGTTGTAGCAGGTTGAGCTAGTTCATCAGCGTGGTTGACACGGTCGCTGCCTCAGTCGCTGCCTCGGCCCTTAATTGTCCCCGGAACAGCGGCGTCTGCCATGACTAATGCATGTTGACTCTGCCTTAATGAAGCGCCTCAAATGAAAGGGACGGCTTGAAATTCTCCTGCATGCATCTTAATGATGGATCTGCTCCCACTCGCTCGTATTCTCACCACTCTACTTCTGCTCTTGCTGTCTGACTACTGTACATACTGTACACAACTGAAAGTAAACATGATAACAAACACACACACACACGTCCTCAAGTGTGTGTACTATGGCTCTCGTTATCCAGAAAGATGTGAACTAAAAATATAAAATCTTTTTATCGTCCTGACAAGGAACATGGGAATCAGTTGGCTGTGATTACAACACCTTAGATTGCTGAATGTTAGTTTTGCTGTATGATTTCTCCCACCAAGATTGCAATTGGGATTTACATCACCTTCCTTTTAACTCTGGGCAGGTGTCTACAATGCACTGTATTCAAATACATTGACCTTGTATCAAGCATAAACACATAATCTTACACTTCATAATCATTTCTCCATGAAAACAATCCGATGAAATGTTTGTTGCGATTGTTCTTCCAAGATCCTAGAAAATAGATTTTCACTTTGAGCAAGATATCCCACAGTTGATGAATATGGCATTACTCGATCGTCTTTGAGTAATAAAGACACCTAATGATAGACCTGATGCTTCTACACGGTATCTAGTCAAGCTTTAGATTACTTTACAATGACATTATGCGCAAAAGTGCAGAAACCTATTTTGTTTTGTTAACAATGGATCAAATGTTTACACTTGATAAAAAAGGTGTCGCTTTTAGAAACAAACCAACAGAGAGTGAAGATCCAACTCTGCAGTGTCCATGTAGGGCCTGAAGCTGATTTTTTGTGTTTATGGCCCACAGCTCTACGTTCATTCTCACTCTCTAAAGCTCTGCTTCCTGCCAGAGCTGGCTCTGAGAAACCCACTGTACACTACCTGCTCAGCACCAAACAGCAGATAGACACATTCAGCCACTAGCTGGTGAACATAGTTGTGCATTTAGCCGCTACAGAATCTTTTAGAGTTGGCAGAGTGAACATTGGGTTTATGTTTACCAGTTGGCTAGACACACAACTCCAAATGAATGCTGCCGTTGCTCCTTGTCTGCAGGATATGTAAATAGGCAACTGTTTGCTAACATTCTTACCCATACTGTTAAGTGTCAAACTAAATATTGCAACTTCTTTATAAGTTTAACTGAGAGATGCAGACTACAGTTCACTATCCTGAAGCATTCACTTGACAACTAACTGGCTAAGAAGCTAGATTGTTTATGAAGAGGAAGACGACCTTCTTCTTTTTGAACCTAAAGAATACATTTCACGCTGTCTCTTCTCACACATCACAGTGACGATGGGTGATTATTTCTCCAGGAAAACACCTTTAACTGACAACAACTTCATCTTGTATTTTGGCAAACTCACTAACTATGAATTTGAATTAGTCACAGCTCACTAAATGTAGTTTAATTGATAAGAAGATGAGCTAAGACAAGGTGTATATTGATCCCAGGAGGGACATTTAGCATTTGAGCAGCACAAGATGAAGATTTGAAAAAAATATGTACAGACAAGCAAAAATAAATAAATAAATAAGTAAGCTCTATTGCTACTAGTATCGGAAATATCTCTACTATCAAGTGTGCATCAATTTATGTGCAAAACCAACAGTGCAGTTTTCTGATAATCAATATCAAATCCAACACAAAGAAACTCATTTAGAGACATTACCAACATGGATTCCAAGAGAAAAGCAAAGGAACTGAATGCTTTTATATGTAGTTTACACATTAATAGAGCAATGGGCTACGGCAGGATTGTCTTTTTTAAAAGGACATTTGCTGAGGAACTGGCCTGGCATAGTCTGTTTTAGCTCTCTGTAGATACACACACGGTGCCAGAGCTCTGGAGAAAATCTATTATAATTATATAATATAATAATATAATATATAATCCTTGTCAGGATTATGATGGAGGAACTAGATCAGTACTAATTTGCTTACATAAGAAATCGCAGCACAAGTGACACCATCTCCAGAATACTGCATCTTGTCTTGAAACAGCAGAGTTCTGCTGTATGGCAGAGTGCTTTTTATTTACTTTACTTTTAACACTGTTCATCCACATATCTTGCTTAAAATGTTAGCTCAGTTAAACTACTTTTTTGATGAGTTGGTATTATTCTTTTCATCAGACAGACCACAACAAGCGACCATGCACTCAGCTCTCTAGAAGAGGGCTATGAACTACAGGCCTCCCCATGGACGCCTCAGTTCACTCTGTTTACTCTGCGCACAGTGATGTCGTCAGCTCCTAACCCATCAATAGTGAAGTTCTCTGATGACACGGCTTTCCTCAGTTTACACACAACTCCAACATGAGCTGCTTTAGAGCTGAAGTGGACAAGTTCAACTGCAGAGCATGGTAACATTTTGTAATAACCATTAACCCTTCATTAATCATTCATGAAGGGTACATTAATAGTGAGTTAAACTTGAGTTAATATTGTCAACAGACAATGAAATAACTTATCATGTTAACTAATCATTAGTAATGCTATCATTTGTCTTATTTTTTCATTTGTTTGTGTAATGTGAAATACTTCTTTGATAAATATATATATGATATATAATGCTTGTAAAATATGGTATGAATGTGTAAACCTTTAAGACATCATTAGTGAAACATCCACAAACATTACATTGATCGTCCAGTAACCAAATATTAACCATTTAACAAAGTATTATAATCATCAGTTACATCCAATAAATAGCCAAGTAATGTTTATAGAGGGTTTACGAGCAAATCATTAACTGTTAACAAATACTTCATATAGTATATCAATTGGTATTATGTGTGCAACAATACACAGTTTAAACAGCATAAATATAGCATTACAATCTGTAAAAATGATGACGTAAAATAACTATTAACTGAAAAATGAATCAAAAATGTATCAATTCAGCATGAATTAATGGTGCGTACTCTACATTGTAACCAAGATGATGGCACACAGTTAGCCAGTGAAACATTGACCAACAATTATTTCGCCTCATACAGTTATGACTGTTAACAACTTCTCTTGCAATTTTGAAATTCTCTTTGAAATTGTGGTTTGATCTAAAATCAACAAACAGCACTTTTGATTTGGTTGGAGTTGTCTTGTTTTTATCCCTTATTTTATCCATCACCTTGGATTGAGAATAATTGCACAGCCCTCGGTTACATGAGCTACATGTACATGCTACGTACACGGTGGCTCATCACATGTGATTGCTTCCATGTATCTTTGTCTTCGGTCAAAGTGAAGCTCTGACAGCAGCTGCAGCCTTGCCATTCACAATCTACCCTGCAGATAGCAACTGAGTGCTGCCTGATAGAATTTAATTCCCTGCACCCCGAGCCTCATCTCCCCCATCTTAACCCCCCCAAGATAAAACCTCCATCAAATGGGTCTTGACACACAGCGGCACATGTTCTGCTGACCTGTCTGATTAAATAAAGGTTTTTGAGGGGAAAGGAGAGACAAAAATGAAATGGAAAAGGATCCTGACATCTCCACCTGAGTCCTCCACTCCAGGACCCTGCTGCCTTATCGGGCTGGAGCAGGAGTGTGGATTAGGGGGTGGATGACCTTGGCTGGGCTGGAGCTAACATCCCCCCTTCCCAGGACCTGGTCAATCCTGTGCCCTTGAGCAGAGGAAACGACATACACACATGAGAACAAACCCCAGCTGAATTAATGGAATCCTGCATGCATTAGTCACTTTGGATAAAAGCTACTGTAATGAGAGGAGAATAAAAACATTCATTATGTCAAGTTGTTCTTGGAATATCTCTCAATTTCAGGCTTAATGGACTGTCACGTTAAATGCAATATTATGGTTATCATCAAAGACACACTGTGACCACGGAGTGAAGTTAATATGCTATCGGCTGCACATTAGATTCTGACAAGTTTCTGCTCAGCAGCTCACAGAGAGAATGTGGGGGGATTTGGTTGATTAGCGTGGGGCTGGTTTGTGTTCAGTTACTTCATTAGGGTCCTGTTGTTCTCGACAGGCTTCAAACTGAGGAAGAGGAAGATCGTCAATGAGCCGACTGGCGGGACGGGCAACTGCCCCCACCTGGTGGAGGCGATACCATGTGAAGACCCCAGCTGCTACGACTGGCTGGTGGTTAAACTGGAGGAGTGCATCCCTGATAATGAGAAGGAATGTGGACCTGGAACCCAGATCCCACAAGTGCAGTGTGTCAACAGTGATGGTGAGTAGACGCATGAAACGTGTGACCATGAAGCAGGTTTGAGGATTACTGTTTTTTTCCGACAAAATCAAGACATCGGCACATTACAGTAGTGAATCTGGACCATAGTGTATCAATCGAAGTCTGAAGCACACACTGCTTTTCTGAAGATTTGACAGCAGCATTATTAATGTGTTAATGAAGTCAAACTTGGTGTGCAGACGCTCACAGAAACAAGTGTGGGTGTGGGACTCACATCATTGCCTCTAACAGTCTGGGAAGCACTGTGATGGAGTGGTGCGGCGCCAGCAGAAATGCGTGCGTTGATCCACGTTTCAACCCTCACCTGTGGTCATGAGCTTTGGGCCGTGACCGAAAGGATGAGATCACTCATACAAGCGGCCGAATCGAGTTTCCTCCATATACGTTTGCTCAATAGCCCGATTGATAACCCAATAGCTTACGTTTTAATGTTAAGTTTTCTGTCCAATTTGGCATTTTTTTTCTCTTTTGATAAGTCACACTCAACACAAAGAACAATAGCAGTTTGAATTGTTTCAGGTTGAATGGCACTAATCAGGGCATTACAATAGTAACTTCCATATTTCTGCTGGATTCTGTCATATATTTATTGTACCGTCCACAAACACAGATGCTGGATGGTACTGCCTGAGGGAGATCTCTCTCTCACGCACACACACCTACACACACACATTGACCTAAGGACTAAGCACCTGCTTTCTTGTTCATACGTCATGGTACCAGGTAAACAGCTGGCAGACCAACACATTGTTTCCTTTCCAGGCAGTAGCATCAGTAACTTTGGGTTACTTAACGTAAACCCTGGTTCTTTGATAACAGAGTGAGGTGTTTCTCTATGGGGAATCGCCTCGGCGTGACCAACTATGGAAGCTCCAATGACACCACGTCTGTCAGTGACAGACAGGTTGGCTGAGGGAGGGCCCCGCCCCTACCTATTATTACAGCCGGCTGCCTCCTCGCAAATCATTCGAGACCGATTTCTTTTCCGTGTAAATGCAAGGAGGGTTGTGACGGTGA